CATCTGCAAATTTTTCCCAACATGAATGTGTTGTGTATTTGTTAATAAAGGACACAAAACACACACACTTTACTAATACAGGAATTCCATTTTGACCTATCTGTTTTAGTACAACTCAGCACCTCAAGATGACTGATACTTTATCTAAAATATTTTCCAACATTACTAAAAAAAATTCAAATTTCAAATCAGGATTTATAAAAATTAAGCTGCCATTGTAATCTAATACTAGTGCAATCTGGAATGCTAATCAATTCCAGTGACATAAAAATAAATATGCATAACCTGTAAGAGGATCTTATGTGCAAACTCTTTTATATATATATATATATATATATATATATATATATATATATATATATATATATATATATATATATATATATATATATATATATATATATATATAATATATATATATATATACATATGTCTAATGATGCCTGATGGTGGAGAAACTAATTGCCCTATGGTGGGTCAATAAAGCAGCTACTACTGCTCTATAATTGTCACACACTTGTCACCTTTTTTCCATAACTCTCTGCTAAGCCTTAGGTATATTCCTTTCATTCATATATATATATATTAAATAATCAATCATCAACTATTCCAAAACTATATCACAATTTACTTTTAATATCTCAATCTTCATTTTATCCATCCTCTTCATTTCATTTCCTTTCAAGCTGTCAACTACCTGATCCACTTCCTCAACATTTTCCTCTTCACAGCAGAGCTTGCTCCTCCTTGCTCCACGCAAGAAACTCCCCACCTTGTTTTCATCATCGACATTTATTAATACTACTTCATCTTTTCATCATCTCCACTCAATATCACTGTAGCATTTCACAAAGTCTCTCAAGTTAGAATGGCCAGATTCATGATGTCCCTAATGCATAGTGTGGCCTGATGTTCAATTGTAGCCTTGTGCATGAAAGAATACAGCAATGTTCTCATTGCCTATTGGAAAGTTACTTTTTTTTCAAACATTCTTATTAAATTTGTGCCTGTTTCACATGTATACCCTTTTTCTACACACTGCTTGTGAGAGAAAATATTTACTTTTAAAAACATTTTCCTTGGATTTAGTTTTATTACTAATGTGTAAGTGTTGTGCACATGCATGCCCCATTATTGCCTACTCTTTATATTTTATGCTATTATTTCTAAAAAAATATGATATACATATACAATAATGCTATCAACTGATTCACAGTCAAAACAAACTCAAAGGACAATGTCGATAAAGTTGAATTTTCTCCTTTGAGAGTAGTGTCCATAAAATACATATACAAGTGAAAGTGGCAAAAATTTAAATAAGCAAGTGTATGAACACAAGATTTATGTTAGAAAAGAGAATAAGAAGAGTGGTGTGTTCTTACTGTAACATGCAAGACTGCCACCATAATAGAGATTTTGATAATCAAAAACTAGTGTTGAATTCTGTTAATAAAGGCAAATTACTGAATCAGATTTTATTGCTTCAGTTTAAACTTCATTTTACCCAAAGATAAATTTAATCTCAGTATATCAATTCATGCCCAGACCAGTAATAATTTTTATGAATTCACACTTAGAAGCTGGAGTGTATCATAGTCAGCAAGTGGGTAATAAGACACACATAGCTAAGGGCCACTTTATCAAGATGTTTCACCTACATCAAAATTTATCAAGTACATACATAAAATATCAAAACAATGACACATATATAGTGTTGAGATGTTCCATCTGTTATAGGTGAGAGATCAAGTCAGGTGTAGGTAAGGCCCACAGCAACCAAGGTCAGATAAAGTCGGGCATGATCTAGATCAAGAGGTCAGGTCTTGGTCAGATCTAGCCATTCCTAAGGGAAATAAATCTATTAAGGACCTACTAGTCAGAGACCTGTAGAACAGACAGGGTGGGGGTGAGCTGCTCAAATCAAATAGCTAAACATTTTAGATAAACCTATCACTAAAACCATTCTTGAAAACAGAAGCACAAATGGCCAGGATCTAACCTCTCAAGCTAGACCATGCCCACTATTATCTGACTGGTTGCCAAGGACCTTACCTGCACCCAACTTTACCTCCCATCCTTACACCTGTAAGGTTCCCTCACCTATAGCAGTGGAACATACTAACTTCCTCTGACCTCAGTTTCACCCAGCACCTGATATTACTTCTGTTCAGCACAATATATTTGTTATTGTTTTGATATTTTGTTATCTTGATAAACCCTTGTGTAGGTAAAATATCATAATAAAATGCATTATTTTGCTAGGTGTATGTTTTGAACCACACTTGGAAAGCAGAGTACCTGTTAATCAGGTCAACTGGGGGTCAAGTCACAATTGATTTTAGGTCATGCTAGACTTTAGCGACACCTTCCATCTATGGTCATTCCAGCAGATGATTCATGGGTTATGGGACTACTATACTGGTCCATGTCTTTCTTAATAGGAGTTTGCTATTATATATATGTATGTATATATACGTGCATGTACACAGCTCTAAGGCCTTTCACATTGTTGCCAGTGCTTTATCAGGAACAACTTTTATTTTTCTACATTTCTTACACTGTCTTGATGAGTTATGCCAGGGGTAGGGGGTGCCTAGCATATGTGGCCACGGTAGCCACGTGGCACTAGCTTATTCCAGAGATCTTACATCCTTAATCATTTCCTTTTAATCAAGAGATGGCAACAGTGCAAAAGGCCTAGAACTGTGTTTCCAACTACCTTGTAACCTTTTTTTTTCTGTGTGTGTTCATATATATACACACACAGAATATATATATATATATATATAATATAATATATATATATATATATTATATAATATATATATATATTATAATATATATATATATATATATATATATATATATATATATATATATATATATATTATATATATATAATATATATATATATATGTTATATATATATATATATTATATATATATATGTCTTATAGTATCATTAATTCCAACTCGTACTGTATATGTTATTTTCTTTCGTATTTATGTTGTATGACTGAAAAAATTATACCTGGACTTGTACTGCAAAAAATAATTTATAAGACTAAGCACATGATGTTTAGAATTAACATGTACACATTGTCTCTTTAACAGGTCATAGTCAGTATTTTGTCTTTTGTTAAACTTACGTTCTACCATAAGATGTCAAAATTATATTACAATAAATAGCAAGCAAATATACCAAGTACTACATCAGCTGATTGTGGAAAACATGCAAGGAAGCTCCATATACCTTAGTCAGAGTCAAAGTCACACTGGACACAGGGAAAACTTTGGACTACCTTCTTCATAACCTTAATACAACAGTTAGCAGTGGGTTAGGTCTATATTACAAGTGTTCATCTATTAATTCTCAATGATGTGCAAGGTTACGAATTGCTGTTTCAGAGATGGCTGGTGTTTCTCATTTGCCCAATGAACAATGCACAGTACACTGTTGAAAATATATAAATAAGGAGAGAAGAGGTTAGCTTAGGTAAGGTTTGTCAGGAAACAGGACAAGTGTTTCCTGACACAGGTCTTAGTCACATGATGACCCATAGCTAGAGCTTTTGGTCATCTGACCAAGGCCTTCAGCTGGCTTACCGGTCCACCCCTTTAAAAATTATGGTCATAATTATAACTATTGTTATGAAAGAAGAGTTTACAACAGTATATTAAGAACTGTCTCAGTATTGCACCTCTGTCTACATTCAAAACCAGGAGCAACAAAATTAAAATGTCTAAACATTAATAAAATATAAATAAATATTATTAGATCATAAATAAATGTTAAATAAAATATGTATTGTCAGATGCAATACAAAACTAAGACTTGATAATAAAGGCATAACTCAGAAGTAATAATTAATGCTCCTGGTTTGAAAGAACATAAATAATTTATCTGTGCAGTATTAAACATATACAGTATCAAACTGAGAAAGGCATGGATATACAAGATATAACTTAAATTTTCCACTAAATTACTTTTGTATGTGTGTGTGTGTATACATATCTGTATTTATTTCTGTAGTTATATATTTGCAGGTATAAATAATTTTTCCATATAGTTTCTTAAATTTCAACCAACTTGGGTATTGGCAGTGATTTCAATCTTTCTTAATAATCATATTATACAACTCTGTGAGCTATTGTGTGGCATGTTTTTGAACCTTTCCTGTTTCATCTGCACATACTGTCAAATGTTATGTTATGTATGTGTGTACTCACCAAATTAATCTTGCAAGGTTCAGCTTCAACTCATGGCCCTGTCTTAACTCTTATTACACTAGCATATTTATATCAACAAATTCCTCTACTATTTCTTCGTCATCTTTATTCCAGGTTTTCAACTACACATGCTGGAAAAGCACTTTTTAATATCCCTGTACTGAAGTTCATTTGAGTATTTAGTTTTTATCTATGTCCATTTGTTCTAAGCCTTCCCATGTCAGAGTCTGTCCACCCTCACAACACCCATCTTTAATTATTATTTCCAATACTCTGAATGACCCATATGGGGTCATTCAGCTTTGAACATCAGTAACATATTCCCCCGGCACTCTTATTTTTATACATACACAGACACACACATACCAGAAACAAAGTAATAAAACACTGCATACTGTACATTGCATAATTTGTAATTTTCAAAATGCTATTAATATCAATATGAAAATGCACATTTTGTTTTACGAAGAATTAAAAAGAATGTTATTAGTAGTAAAATAATATAATACCAAGGTGTATAATGTTCTGGTTATCTTATTTCATTCTTGCAAGAGCCATGCCATTTCTCAGTTGTGTGACTAGATCAGCCAACAAGAGCCTTCAAAATGCTTTCAAAGGCTTAGTCTTTATTCCAGTATCAGAAATGTAAGTTCTGTATTGAACACCACTCCACCAGCCTTACACATAGGCACCAGCAGCCTCTATATGGCTGATTACACCTACTAAGACTGAAAGTTAGCTGATTCTGTCACAATTTATGGCTTCATCACCTTAATTGTTATCCCTTCGTCCTCTTCATCCTCTTCTGCCATCATGCTCAGCCTCTTCTTCTCCTCTTCATTAAGAGCATCCTTTTTGGTGCCACGTTTCTTGGTGCTGTGGGAGACACCAGCAATCAGTCTCTTTTAAATACTAAGCAAACTGCTTAAAAATATCCATGTATATTTCTTGTGAGTATATTTTCAAGTTTAATCATGAATTAACAATGGAAAGCGATGGTGCAGGTTATATACGATTGGTAGACAGGCATTTTTAAGATGTACATCATCAGTTATGGGATGCATATCTTTTATGTAATTTAGTAAGACATAAAAATTATAAATTAATATGGAGTTAACTGAAAATTAAAAATAAAGAAATAAAGATTTATAAACTCACCAATTGGAAGAAAAATGAAGTGATTTAATTTATATACAAAAATGTTTAAAATAACTGAATATCATGTTATACAGCTGCTAAGTAACACATGAGTTATGTAAAATGTACACATCATAATATTGTCTGTTTGCCTTAGAGATTATAAAGCAAATAATCCATGGAAAAACAATTATAATTGTGCAAATTTTACCAGCCATACATAGAAAATGTAGGAAAATGAGGGCAGTCTGAAAGAAAAAGCAAGAGCTATGCCACTGTTTCTTTGATCATATTGGTAGATGTTCCAACATTCTCATGTTCAACATGGTGGTTGTTCCAACATTCTCATGTTCAACATGGTGGTTGTTCCAACATTATCATGTTCATCATGGTGGTTGTTTCAACATTCTCATGTTCAACATGGTGGTTGTTCCAACATTATCATGTTCATCATGGTGGTTTTTTCCCAACATTCTCATGTTCAACATGAGTGGTTGTTCCAACATTATCATGTTCATCAGGGTGGTTTTCAACATTATCATGTTCAACAGTGGTTCCAACATATCATATTCATCATGGTAATTTTTCCAACATTATCATGTTCATCATGGTGGTTGTTTCAACATTATCATGTTCATCATGGTGGTTGTTTCAACATTCTTGTGTTCAACATGGTGGTTGTTTCAACAGTCTCATGTTCATCATAGTAGTTGTTCCAACATTCTGATGTTCAACATGGTGGTTGTTCCAACATTCTCATGTTCAACATTGTGGTTGTTCCAACATTCTCATGTTCATCATGGTAGTTGTTCCAACATTCTCATGTTCAACATGGTGGTTGTTCCAACAGTCTCATGTTCAACATGGTGGTTATTCCAACATTATCATGTTCAACATGGTGGTTGTTCCAACATTATTATGTTAAACATGGTGGTTGTTCCAACATTATCATGTTCAACATGGTGGTTGTTACAACATTCTCATGTTCAACATGGTAGTTGTTTCAACATTATCATGTTCATCATGGTAGTTGTTCCAACATTATCATGTTCACCATGGTGGTTGTTCCAACTTTATCATGTTCAACATGGTAGTTGTTCCAACATTATCATGTTCATCATGGTAGTTGTTCCAACTTTAAATCATGTCTCATCATGGTAGTTGTTCCAACATTATCATGTTCATCATGGTAGTTGTTCCAACATTATCATGTTCATCATGGTAGTTGTTCCAACATTATCATGTTCATCATGGTATTGTTCCAACATTATCATGTTCATCATGGTAGTTGTTCCAACATTATCATGTTCATCATGGTAGTTGTTCCAACATTATCATGTTCATCATGGTAGTTGTTCCAACATTATCATGTTCATCATGGTAGTTGTTCCAACATTATCATGTTCATCATGGTAGTTGTTCCAACATTATCATGTTCATCATGGTAGTTGTTTCAATGGTCCTCATTATCATCATGACAGCAAGAGTCACACTTACATCAAGGAAGGTTTCTTTAGTTATTTTTTACATAAAAATGTTTAATGTAATGCAAATTTGGTATTGGCCTCCGAGTGGTTCAATAAAATTAGTGTTCTTATTTATTGTAATATTTCACATTACAAAACCATAAGTATTGATATGTTATGATATTAAGTAAATATTAATGAAATGACAACTTAATATTAAGAAATTTTAAGAAATTCAAGGTAGAAATATTAGAATATTTTGTGGAGGTCTCCCATTTACAAGCATCAGTATTAATAGTGTTAGCTAGACAATATTCTAAGTATTACCTCTTATTACTGATCATTCAAGACAAGGCACAGCAAACATAATAATGTAAAAAAAAAAATCAACATCAACAGAGCAAACATAATATACAAAAAGCATCATCATCATAGCAAACATAGTATACAAAATAAAGCAACATCAACAAAGGAAATAATATACAAAATGAAGCAACGGCAACAAAGCAAACATGCAAACTCAAGCCATAACACTTGCAGATAAACACAGACAATGCAGGTGCTACTAAATTTATTATTAAAATGTACAGTAATGGCTCATAGGCCAAATATGTATCATGCAGAGGTATTTTTGTAGTGCCCACATGATGATTAGTGTTTTACTGTTTAAGATGGTTTGGAAAAATGGTAACAATTCAGAATAATCAGTAGAATGTGATATTAACAGGTTGACTTTAATATCATACTGTGTACATATATGTATGTACATACATGCATACATATATATACACATGTCTGTATGCATATATGTATGTATATATATTCCACTCAAAGCAATGTATGGTAATACAGTACCACATTTATTCTAATTTCAGAATGCAATTTCCATTTTTTCATACAGTTTTAAACAGTGGTATTAATGCTCACCTGTAGCAGGAGGTAACCTGTATATTCGATGACATGTGCTGTTTCCTTCTGTGATCTATAATACCTGGTTATCTCAAAATACAACTACAACAATGAAAATATTCACTCTAACCTTCAATGTAAGAGGAACTGCATATGTTTACTGATAATACAAATAATAATGTTGCATTATTAACTTTATCTTAAAATCTAATGCTATAATTATATTACAAGTTATCAGTATTTTAGCAGCCCCTTACCTTAGAACTATCAGCAAACTCTTCCCAGTGTTATTTTCAAAGCATATTAAGTAATTTAAAATGGCTATCACAAAGTATTTAGCATCTATAATCATGAAGTTTATGCAGTCCATTACTATTTAACATACCTTGAAAAATATAGAATCCTAACTGAGCATTTTCTAGGCTTTAATTTAAATAAATTCTCTAAAACCTTTCATGTTTTATTGTGTGTTATTTATATATATTTACATATAAAAAGTATAAAATTAAATGCATGTGAATTTTTGCAAATCCTATAATAAACACTGTAATAATGAGGAGTTTTCCAATATATTTCACCTTATTTCAAAGCCTCAGTCTGTCAGTCACTCAGTTCTAGTCAGAAACACTCAACATCATGAACTAACATGGAAAACAATCTTCTGACAATGAATGGTTCCAGAGTTAGCAAATAAATGTTCATACCCATATAGTCCCACTGAGGATTAAACTTACTTGATTAACAGTATACTAAAGTACTATATATATGTTGATACATCACTTATTAGTCAAGAATTGATGAAATAACTTGTGCTTTTAAACAAACTGCTGAATAAATGTGATTGTATTTCTGTGTTCAAGTTGAATAAACGAACCACATAAGAATAACAAATTCTCAGACTGACCTCTCTTCCACCCATATGTGGACCTCCCTACATTTTTAGTTATATGTGACACTTTCTATTATTCTCAGGAGTTCAACTTGCCAATATTGCCAACTGACAAACAATTAACCAGAAAGATATGACTACATTTTTTATCCTTTTTTGTTTCTATAAAGCTTATGACTAAATGAGAATCTTACAACAAACATAATATTAAGATTGGTAACAGACCTAAATGCACCTTTGGCCTTTCTAACTCAATGTCTCTTCTCTCTCTAGGCATGTAATTCTCCAGCACCATCTTAATCAGTTTGTTACTTTACAAGTTATGACCTTCATGGGTTCTCTGTTTTTCCCATACTATATACCTGTGGCTAGTTTTTGAAGATCATTAATTTTGCTTTAGCCCTGTGGGTTTTCTTTGAACTATTTGTACTTATGCTCTAGTCTCCTGTTGTTAGGTGGGGGAATATCTCTTCTGCTACCTAACCCTTTTGTATCCTCGAAACTCCATGTACTTCCCATATACCACTTTCCTATGAATATAATAATAATAGTAATTAACTTGGCTTCCAAGCTAAAAAAATCTTCGAGTTACTATTTAAGATTAAAAATACTGGATATGCCGCCTTTAACCGAGAGGAAGAAAAAGAAGAGATATAACCTAACCTAAGGTTTCAACCCTTTCAGGGTCGAGAGGCCCCTCTCCTAAACTTGTTCTCAGGGTCGAAAATTTTTTGGAAAAAAACAAAATATTTTTTCTTATGAAATAATAGAGAATCTTTTCCTGATCATAATGACACCAAAAGTATGAAATTTGATGGAAAACTTACAGAATTATGCTTTCGTGAAGTTAGCGGTCTCACTGATGTTCACGCATCGGCGATTCCGCTCACTTTGAGCCCTATTTTCGGCCAATTCCTGTGTACTAGTCGACAAAAATCATATTTATTTCACTAGAACTCCATTTTTTCTATCGAATGAGTACAAGAAACCACCCATTTACCAATTTCAACTATCCAATAAAGTGGCTAGAAATTGGCAATTTTGCCAATTTCACACAAATTTCAAAAGATGCCAATTTCCAAATAGGGTCTGGAATAAACAAGAAAGACATTCCTGGCACTAAAATAACAAGTTCTCTGTTTGTTAGTCACGTTAGTCTCTTACATTTCTTTTGCTTTCCACTTTGAATTTTTATTCTTACAAAAAATAGAAGATTTACTGTTATGAAGACTACTGTATTAGTGTAGAAATGGTATAAATAATATCAGCACACTTGTGAAAGAATATTAGACCCACCAGTTGATGTGTATTGGATGCTTGGCATGATTTGTTTACTTTTGAACTGTGGTAAAAATCGAACATTTCTGCTACTTTGAGCACAATTTCAAGGTACTTTTCATTGTGAAACCAGTCAAAATCATCTCAATTTTTGTAATATGTCTTCCATTCTATAAAATGAGACCAGGAAAACTAGA